TCAGTTACTTTAAGATTTTGTAAATCTTTTAATTCAAATTGTTGCCATTCATCATTTTTTTCTGATTCTGTTTGTTGAGGATTCTTATCACCAATAATAGAATAATAAATCGCTATCTTATACAAACATGTTTTCCCATCTGGAAATTCTCTAAATCCTTTTTGAAAAGCAATAAATTCAAGTTCATTTAATTCAATATTTGTTTCTTCCTTAGCTTCTCTACAAGCATATTGTTCAAAAGTTTCATTTTTTTCTTTGTACCACCTGTTGCCTGATAATAATCATAGTAATCTTTGTCAGGATTATTACGACGACTCAACCAGATTTTCTTAGAATCTGAAACTAAAAGACACAAAGAAAATTCTTTTCTTTCATCTTCATATTTATCAATCATTGATTTAGTTTGTTGCATCAAATTGTTATTGATATTAATTTGAAGTTTAATCTCACTAATAGGTGTTTTAGTATCAATAGTAAATCCTTGATTTTTGATTTGATTTAAAACATTAATAAAAGTATAATATTTTGAATTAAAATCAAGTAAACTATTATACTGATCTTTTGCTGCTTTGTATTCAGATACCATTTGTTAAATTACGTATTTAAAATTTTAATCAGTCTTAAGACTGATTAAATATAACAAGAATAATTTTTTTCTAATGCTAAATTTAATGCTTTTTCCTTAGAAATTAATTCATCTTCATCTGATTCATCATCCATTTGTAATTCTATATCACTAAACTCAATACCGTTATTATTAACAACACCATTTTGATTCACTATGTATTTTCCTTTATAATCAGAATCTTTTTTTCTTTCTTCTCTATTATCAAATTTTAACTCATTATCTTTAACAAATTCATTTTGAGAAGATACGTATGTAATATCACGTGGACAATCATGATATGTAAAATAAAACTTGTTGCAAATGATACAATATTTTTTTAAATCATCTTTAACTACAAAATCATTATCAGTTATATATGTTGAATTTGAACAATTTGAATCTAAATCACCCTGATAAATAGAATCTGAACAAATTGAAGATTTCTATTTTTTCTTTCTGATATGTTTATGTTTAAACACATATTTTGGTTCAGGATTTTTACTATTTTGTTCACTCCTACAAACAAGTATACCATTGTAATATACTGTTCTAAAGTTATAATCACTTTCAACTATAAATTTTGATTTGGAAATTTCTTTCAAATTGTTTCGCAAATGTATTTTTTTATGTAAATAAAATTCTGTTTGGTCAAAGACTAAACAGATAATATATATTTATTAAATAATACAACAAAATTATTTTATTTCATTAATTTCTTCTTCAAGATCTTCCATCTTAGTTTCTAAACGTTTTACCGAAAATTCAGCAAAACTTTTGTTCTTTTTTAAAGTTTCTTTGAATTTTTTTGCCTTGAAAAAATTAGGATCACTACGATTTTTAGGCAATGATTGAATAATTCTATTATATTCTGCAATACGAGCATTTAAATATGTTAAATATAATTCTATAAATTCATAACGTTTTTGTTTATCTGGAAATACTATGCTATATATGTTATTATTAATTTCATTTGAAACTTCATAATTTTTTAAATCAAGATAATAATTAAGTTCAGCTTCAGAAGTATTCTTTTGAGAATCGTCTTCAGCTTCAATATTTTCTCTTTTTCTTTTAGTCATTTTTGCTTATGTAAAAAAAATTCTAGTTGGTCTTAACGACTAACTAGACAAAATTTTATTGAAAAAACTAATAAAATACAAAACAAATAAAATAATTAAACCTCTAAAATATTTTTCATATCGAATCCTGAATAACTTGTAAAAAACATTTTTCAATATCAAATCAACAACTTTTGATATTTCAAAATATGTTGTATCAATATTATCAGATATTTTTTTCGTTTTTTTAATCAAAGAAGAATCACGTGTTATTATATTTAACCACATATCATATTAAATTGTTTTTGTCGATGATCATTACGTGTTTCAAAATTAGCTGTTAAATAAAATTTAATTTTAGCATCAGGAAGAATATCAGTTGTTGAATCACAACCTACCACCACAAAACCTTTCTGTTTCGTATTTTTTCGAATAATTTCGTTAATCTTTTTACAAATATTATCATTTTTTGATATCTCAAATGCTTGTTTATTTATACCATTATTATCTCTCTCATAAAAAAGTGTTGTGTTGTCAACCTAAAATAAATGTTTGGGTTCTTCGTTATTTAAAATATTTATCAATTCTTCTTCATCAAAACTTGATGTTTTTGACGCTAGATATTGAT